GGGAGGAAGCATTTAGGAACTAGAGGAAAGTTGTCTGCTTCATCATTGCTACGTTGCACCCTCACTGGCTCGTCTCCTCCAGGCGACCCAAGATTGTAACTCTTTTCTGGGTGGAATGCCTCGTCTTTCTCCCAAGGAAAGGCTGGTGGTTTCGAACTGTTGAAGACGCCTCCATCTGGAATGAGAATTGGAAACCACAATGCTACCCAGGCTGTGCCCCTCGGGAGTGGGGAAGAAGAGCCTGCCATGCCTTGGCCAGCATCCTGTGGCCTCTTGGCTTGGGCGGCGCCACTCTAGTTCCTGCCTTCGCCCGTGGCCTCCCTCTATGTCTACCTCTCTGTGTCGCCAAGCTCCCTCTCCAGTCATGACATTTAGGCCCACCCTAACACCAGGATGGTTTTAGCTCGAGCGCTTTCAACTAATTACATCTGCCAAGACCCTACTTCCAAATAAAGTCCTGCCCATGGGGACTGGGGGTTAAGGTGGAACCTATCTTTTAGAGGACACCGCTCAGCCTGCATTTGGGATTTTGCATGCAGGCTCCAGCTGGCTGGGCTGCAGTGGAGGCGCCTTAGAGGAGGCCCAAGGTGATGAGGCTCAGTCGTGTGGCCCCTATCATTGGCACCAGGGTCCCTTGAGACTTCTGGGTTCCTTTAGTGCAGCAGTCCAGGCTGCCCTACTGCCATGTTATGCTCCCTGTTTGTGTAGTGGTTATTCATTAAGCTGCCAAGCACAAGGTCTGCAGTTTGAAACCACCAGCCTTTCCTTGGGAGAAAGATGAAGCTTTCTACCCCCGTAAAGAGTTACCATCTCGGGAACTCACAGGGTAGCTCTCTCCCTGTCCTACAGGGTCCCTCTGAGTTGGAATCAACTCAGTGGCAGTGAGTGAGTTGAGGCAACACAAACGGTTAAACGGGCAGGTACTCTGAGGGAGTCAGGTGAGTTGTAGTCAGCAAGAGGAGGCATGGAAGAAAGGCCTGGTGATCTGCTTCTGGAAGGGTCCCCCGCCCTGACAACCCTGTGGTGCATGCAGGTCTAACGCATATTCAATTTCATAAGTGGCTCAAGGGTTTCTGGTGTGAGTTTTTTGTTTTTTTAACCAAACTACGGTTGGTAATTCTCTCCTAATATCTGCCGCTGCCTTATTATCACAGTGGTGGTATTTTTAGTCCCCACATCGATGGCACTTCTCATTATTACCATTCCTCTCTGGGGAGGCATGGGGCCAGAATCCATTGTTCACTAATTAAGCTCTTTGAGGGTAGTCAGCATGAGGGGCACAGAAGCCCAGCAGGCCTTTGGCTGTGGTTATCAAACAGGAGCACCTTCCAGAAGGTTCCAGGACCTCAGATCTCTCTCTAATCGGTGACTTGGCAGATGTCACCTTTGGCTCCGGGCCGGTGCAAACACCCAGGTCCCATGCCTCTGTGCTTCCAAGAGCCTCAGGGAGTCTAAATTCAGGCAGAGCCCAGGGAAGCCAGTGACACAATTTCCTCAAGCTCCGTTTCTTACTCAGAGAAAAATCTCCATTAGAATCATCTCTTCTGGCACCCCATCATCATCACACATCTGAAATGTGACTTCTCTGCGAGACAGAGTCCGGGGCGCCCCCTGGTGGCCACAGGGTGCACACATGCAAGAGCCTTGGGCTTCCTGCCCCAGGTTTGGGCTTGGCATCTCTTCAGACCCACGGGTTCTTAAGGCAGGCTTTTTGATTCATGATACTGACAACTCAGCCAGGAGCTGGTGGTGCAATTAGGGTTTTCAGTGACTGTTTTTTTTTGTTTGGTTGGTTTTTTTTGCACATAGCTCACCAGGCCTTCTAAGGGGCCTCAAGGTAGATTGGAACTTCCAGCCTTGTGTGAAGGACAGCACATTAAAAGGACTCAACAGGAGGGTTACCTTCCGTGTTTGCTACCGGAGTGCTCAGCGTGGAGGCCGGAATGGTTTCCCCGAGGCTGGATCCGCCGAGTGCCAACTACCTCAAATTGGCATTGGATGGAGCTGGCTCTATGCCCCATCAGCCATTCAGCTGTGGCACCGTGGGCAAACCACTTCACTGCTCTGGGCTTCAGTTTCTGCTCTTCTCAAATGCAAGGAATCAGTGCACTCCACAGATAGGATTCTTTTAGAGCCTAGGGCAAGGCCTCAAGAAATGGGAGGAAGCATTGGAGACTTCCCCTCCACTGATGCGTGTTCGAACCACAAGGTCAGCAGTTTTGAGGTCATCTACTTCCTCAAAGGGTTACAATCTCAGAAACCCAAAGAGGCAGTTCTACCCTGCCCAGTAGGGTCACTATGAGTCAGTGTTGACTCAATGGTAGTGAGATTGGGCAGCAGGAAGCTGAGGCTCATTCAAGGTCATACCTGTTAGTTGACGAATTTGACCTAAAACATACCTCTTAACTCTAAAACTTGACTTTTTCCCAAGCACAATTTCCCTAGTTGGGCTTCGAGTCTGTTTTTTTTTGTTTTTTTGTTTAGAATCTCTGAATGTATTGCTTAATGAGGAACTATGTTTGCCCACGCTCCACGTTTTTTTGCAAGAGCAGCTTTGGAGTCTATGGGTGTGGCGGCGACCTTGTCTCCACTCTTCGCTATCTAACTGGTCTCGGCAATTCATTTCATCAGCCAAAGCCTTACTCTCGCTCTCGCTCTCGCTCTCTGTCATGGAGACGGTACTGGTGCATCTCACAGGGGGAGTCAAGAGGATGTTGATGGATTGGTTAGGGTTTTCCTAAAAAACCAAACTCACTGCCATTGAGTCAGTCCTGACGATAGCAACCCTCCTGTGAGTTTCTAAAACTGTAAATGTTTGCAGAAGTGGAAAGCCTCATCTTTCTCCCGAGGAGCAATTGGTGGTTTCGAACAGCGGACCAACTTATTAAGCACTAAGCCAGTAGGGCTCCTGGTTAGGGTCATTTAGTCTTCAAATAGCCCTGCTTGGTAGGGTGAGGCGAGGGGCCCTGGAGTGCCAAGATGAAGTGCTCAATGGAAAGGTTGATAGTCCAACCCTGCCCCCAGTGGCTCCACAGGAGCAAGACATGACCACCTGCCCCCACAAAGATGACAGTCTAGGAAATTGTAGGATAGTTCTCCTTGGTCACATGGGGTCCCTGTGAGTCAGAATGGACTAGATAAAGTAAGGTGGAAGGAGCCCTGGGGGTGTCACAGTGAAGCTTTCAGTTGCTAACCAGATGGCTGGTGGTTCTAATTCATCTGCAGCTCCACGGAAGAAAGAGCTTGAGATCTGCTTTCCCATAAAGATGACAAACTAGGCAGCCCTATGGGGTGGAAAATGGGGGTGATGGCACCCTGCAAACAACAGCGAAGGATGTTCAAGACACTTGGTTACTCCAAGAAGGACCCCAAGAAGGGTGCTGTGTGTTATATGGCCCCGGGGGACCCCGGTGGCTGGGTTTCTTTTGAGTGTCTGGGAGGGGGAAACGCATTGACTGCGCAAAGCTCTCACCTGCCTCTGGCCCCCTCAGACCCCTCTCCTGAGGGCGCCCTGGACTAATATGGCTACTTTGTTTGGCCGCAGAATGTCCTGAAGGAGCATGCGGATGACGACCCCAGTCTGGCCATCACTGGGGTCCCTGTTGTCACTTGGCCAAAGAAGACTCCAAAGGTAAGAGGCCAGCCGTGTGCAGCCAGCGCTGGGGGTTCCTCTGCTTGCCTCCCTCATCCTGAGGGATAAACATCGGCAGCCGCTGGGGGATGCTCGGGGAGGCTCCTGAGGGATTGAGCCATTGAAGATGAATGCTTTTTTTTGTGGGTGTTCTTTCAAGTTCTTGTTCTGTAAAGGGAATCATTTTTTCCAAGCTATGAAATTCCAAAGGAACCCTGGTGGCTCCATGGTTTCAGTGTTTGGCTGGCAGAGGTAAGGTCGACCGTGATTACTCACCAGGGGCTCTGGGCGAGCGGGGACCTGAAGGTCTGTTTCTACAAAAATGACTGCCTAGAAAACTCTGTGGGCACTTGGACTCTTTCACAAGGGTTCGCTATGAATTGAAACCCACGTCTCTTGTCAGCACTTAACATGGAAATGTTGGACAGTGCCCCCAGGTGGTCACTTGAAAAAATTCGAGGATGAGCCATTTTTTTTACAATAGTTTTATTGGGGGCTCATACAGCTCTTATCACAATCCATCCATCATCCATTGTGTCAGTTCCTGTCAGGTTTTCTCCCGTCCTATGTTCTTTGTTTCCTTCCTGTCTCTTTTCCTCCCACTGCTTCATGGCTGTTTCCCCCCCTTTTGAAAGTAACTTTTTGTGTGTTTTAAAAAAGAATCCACGCTCACTATAAAAGGTGTCCACATAAGAAAAGACAAAGAAACTGATAAAAAGAACATATATGATTACCTTCTTGAGAAGGTACAACCTTCTCGCCAGTCCGCAGCCATGACTTGTACGGGCCACACCAACCCTGTGAAGGGTTGTCTAATAGTGACTCCCAGGGTGAAGGCACTTGTTAGGGTGCTTGCTTAGCAGCTGCAGAGACCGGACTCGAGGATGGGTCTCTTTAATAGAATAGGCTGAA